TGCGTATCTCATCTGGATTCTTCGGCTTTGGTGGAGTGACAATTGGGCTTACCCATGGTGTTGGGCCTGTTACTGGTTCAATGATATCTAGTTCGATCAGCCTATCCAGTTCGGCATTGACTTTCTTGCGAGTATGGAATGGCTGTCGGCGATGTGGTTGGGCAACTGGAATTACATCTGGGTTGATATGCAGATGTACTTTGCTATCAGTATAACAACCTATGGATTCAAATCGATCAGAAAATTCAGCAACAATAGCATCAACATTGTTTGCAGATTCCACTGCTACAGCATTAGAAAGCTGAAGTAGCCCCAATTTAGTTGATGTCTTGTAACTGAGTAGAGACTCCTTTCCATTCCTAACAACATGGAATGTAGTAGTGAGCATTGCATTCTTTGACTTAATCTCTGCAGTGAAAGTTCCAATCACTGGCAAGGCTACCTTTGAAGCATAGGCAGTGGCTTTGCCAATGTAGTTTTCAAGCTTTGGGAACTGTTTTTTAAATTTCTCATAGTGGCACTCAGCAATGGTGTCAATGTTTGATCCAGTGTCAATGAGAACTTTGAGACAAATACCAGAAATGTATACTATAGTCTCTGGGTTGCTTGGAAGATCATTCCATGATGTGATTGCTTGTACTCTATAAGTGTAATCACATTCACTGTCATCTGAGACTGGTTGTAATGAAATGTTGTCTTGTACATTATTAACATTCTGGATATGAGGTGCAATATTGAGTTTACTACCTCGACACCTATGACCTGATCCTCGTACAGTGCTTTTTATACACTGACTGTGGTTTCTTTAGTGCGGACCGACACATAGCACCAAAATTACCTAGTTTTCCACACTCATAGCACTTCTTACCTTGAGCAGGACAAACATTATCTTGGTGTGGGTAGTCTCCTCCACAATTGTAACATTTATTGTTGACACCTTCTGATGTGGGTCGTTGTGACTGCTTGAGTCTTGTTCCTTGACCCCATTTGTGATGTGGTTCTCGGCTCAATTTGCTGTTAGGTTTGCCATATCTTCTTTGATCACGGTGTCCTCCCTGAACCTTACGTACCTCATCACTGTTAGTAACAGTGGCAGAACCGTTATTGGCACTGCACTCCATGACACGAGCATCACGTGCAGCATCTTCCATTCGACGAGCCATATCCAGTATCTTGGTAAGAGAACTTTCATCATCAGCAAGTTCTAGAGCTCTTCGACGAAGACGTGTAGATGTGCATGTTTCAATTATTTGCTGTTTGATTTCTTTGTCAACATCAGCAAACTCACAATGGGCTGTGTGGTATTGATCCACAGTTTCATTAGAGAGTTGTTTTGCTCTCCTGAAATGCATAATTTCCATTGCTGTATTTTGCCTTGGTTTGAAATGTTCAGTTAATTTGGCTTTGGCAATGTCATAATCTTTGGCACCACCAGTGTCTTTCAGTGTGTCAAAGATGTCACAAACTCTATCACCTGCATAATGAAGTAGAAAGGCACACTTTCTTTCAGCACTTTTGATGTCAGAAACTATCAACAAATTTTCAAACCTTTTAAGCCATTTGGTCCACCTCTGTGACAGGTTTGTCTGGTCACAGTCAGGACCAAATGCAGGAAACTGAGGTATATTTGCCATTTTTTACTGTATAAAAGTAAACTTATCGCTTAAAATGTTCCTCAGAATACTAAACACTTACTGCACTGTATATGTTAGTTAAGAATTCACTGTTTGTCCTGCTCAAGGTAAGAAGTGCTATGAGTGTGGAAAACTAGGTCATTTTGGTGCTATGTGTCGGTCCGCACTCAAGAAACCACAGTCAGTGAATAAAAGCACTGTACGAGGATCAGGTCATAGGGATCGAGGTGATAAACACAATATTGCACCTCATATCCAAAATGTTAATAATGTACAAGACAACATTTCATTACAACCAGTCTCAGATGACAGTGAATGTGATTACATTTATGGAGTACAATCAATCACAGAATGGAATATGTATTTTTAACATTGAAATCCTTTGTGGTAAAGATTAAGTTGTTTAAATTCTTTGTGTGCTTAATTAATGTTAAATGTATGCAATATCTCTTGATATGTTAATAACTTATTTTGTGTCAATAACTTTGCTTTGTGCTACAAGCATGGTAGACATCCTGTATTCATTCTTTTTAAAGAAAAGGAGGGATGTCATGTTCACAGAAAATGGTACCATCCGTTTTCTATGTGCGGCGGCTCAGACGCCAGAGAGGAAGGTAAACAAGATAGCGTACAGGACGCTTCCCGCCAAGCTTGGAAGCTGCTAGTCATGTATCAGTTTAAGTATTAAAGTCAATAACCAAGCAATGGCTTTATATCAACCCTACAATCAAGACTTCCTCAGCTACATACAAACACCACAGGTGGCTGTGTTTGTCTCGTATGTGTTCCATTGTTGTGTGTTTTTGTATGCTTGTGTTCATTGTCATTTTGTCTTGCTGCCTTGTGTTATGTGCTTTCCATTATGGTTCCTGTTGGCACGCCCTGTATGGGTGGCATGTGTTGTTTGTTTGTGTGTTTATGATTATTTACGATTTGTTCTATTATCTGCGTCATATTTACTGTGTTATATGTTCCAATGTTGGTTTGTACTATACCGATTTCTTTATTTTTTAATTTGATATTTTACTGTGTAATGCTAATGTGTTCTGTTTCCTTTATTTTATTTACTGTGCTGTCTATTGCTTTGTTGTATTCCCTTGTTATTTTCTTGCATTTTACTTACTATGTTGTATTTACAGTGTTATATTACCATGTTCTGTTATTGTGTTCTCGATTCTGTGGTGTGTTGTCTGCTGTTGTGTGGTGTGGATAACACAAACGCAAAACACACGCACCGCCGCATGGTGCGTGTGTTTTGCGTTTGTGTTATTTTGTGTTGCTGTGTATATGTGTATTCCTTGTTTATATTTTACCCTTGGTTTTATTGTGCTCTTTGTGCGCTTTTGTAATTACTGACGCTTTTGGCGCGCCCCATCTGGGTAGTGCTGCTTTTGTTTTCATGTGTGTGTTCTTATTTGTTTTATGTAATTCTTTGTTTTCACTTTTGTGTTATGTTGATCTGTGTTACTTGTTATCTGTGTTGTTGTTGTTCTGTGTTCTTTGTTGTTCTTTGATTTCCTGTTTATATGGTTACTGTACGCTGTAATTGCTCTGTTTTAAAAAGAAAAAGAAAAAAAAAGAACCAAGTGATTTACCAACGAACATTCCATCCTATCTTGCACATGGTTTCTACCCATTACATAATCAAGTCTGCCTCCCAATAAATGAGTTTGGGTATCCGTAGTATACACGGTTAATCTGTTGTCATAAACATATTTTATAAATTTGCATCCATTATCGTTGTTAGTAATGTCTCCCAGCGTAATATGTCTAGCATTAAAATCTCCCATGTATATTATCCCATGATTGTCTAGATTCGGGAACAATGCTACATTGAGTTTCTGGCTTCTGGCATATACATTGAGGAATGTGAAGTGGCCTGCTGCAGTTTGTACATGAAATTGATGGTACTGTGTGTGTACATTGTGTGACGTGCTCACAAGAATGTGTGGTAAATCACTTCTGATGTATGTTAATAGGCCTGTGGCGTGACTGTTATTATAGGATACATACCCTCTGATCTTTGGTGGGGTTTTCTTTATCATGTTGGACGTGTAGGGCTCCTCTATAGTAATTATATCTATGTTATTACCAGTAACATGTGCAATTAGATCATTCAGTCTTTTGTTGATGCTACGAATGTTCCAACTGAGAAACCTAATGGTCCTTGTGTCAGTAGCAGCCATCGTCTTGGTTCCTCCCTGGGATTGGTGGTCCCACTGTTGTCCTCGTCCCACTTCCACAATGTGTCAATAAGTGACTCTACGACATAAAGAGCCGCACCAACCTGGCATTTGGTGTCGTCAGGAACATCTGGTGATGTCATCAATTTCCTGATCACTGAGGAACTCGGGATGGTCCGCGAGTGACTGTTCTCTGTAAGTTTCATGGCATAATTACTGACACTCAGAATATTATCATTTTCATTCTCGTACCTGGCTTGAGCGCGTTCGTTAAGGTCAATAATCTTTTTAAAATATGCTGATGCAGATCGACTTCCTCTTCCAGTTAATGTTTCTGTGTCACTAACTCTGCTGTCATCCCTGAGTTGACTGACGACGTCGCTGCCACCGCCTCCGTTGTCGCTCTCCTCTCTGATGCCGCTGCTGCTGCCGCCGCTGCCGCCGCCGCCGCCACCGCCGCCGCCGCTGCCGTCATCACCACCGTAGGTACCTTTACCAGCTTTGGCCACGGCTGTGACACAGCAGTGTGGAGGCTGCTGTATCTCTTGTGAAGGAGCCCGACGTAGCGTCTGTATAATTTCAGCCAGTTCTGCTACCTGTGCTTGCAAGGCTGTCAACTGTCCTTTAACTGTTGTCTCAGGCTGTTGTGTGTTGTCAGGGGCGTTGCTGGTACTGTCACCACTATGGGGTGGGTCAACAGTACTAAAGCCGGCATCGGTAGGCACTTGTTGAGTACCGGGCACTTGCCTCCTTGTGCCAAGGGAGGCTGACCGATTGGTACAGTCTGAGTGCCAGATGGTTACTCCTTCTGTACCACATCTGAAACACTTCAGCGGCGGTTTAGTTGGAGTCACAGTTTCAGGTTGTTGCCCTGCTTCTGTTGCAGTGTTCTGTTGCTCCTGTTCCAGTTTTCTTTGGTCTCTGGTCTTCTTATATGGACAGTTCTTCAGTGGGTGATCACCGGAACAGAGAGCACACTTGGGTGTGGAGCACCAGCAGTACTTAGCTATGTGGCCACTGCCACAGCACTCATAACACTCCACAGGGTTCGGCTTCCACACCTGAACGTGCTGGGGGGCGCATACACCCCACCAAACCAATACTTTTTAGGTGGCGGTTCAGGCTTCTTCCAGACTATGATTATTTGATTGGTAGGTTTACCATTTTTGGTCAATCTTCTTGCTTTGTGAACCCCGTCTAATTCATAGACCCACTCTAGTGGATATTCGTGATGGTATGTGTAGACCAGGTATTCATCCATCTTCTTGTTTCGTGATGGATTATCTTGAAGGGAGAATTTTATGCCACCTATTGTTCCTTGCTGAAGAGCACCCACAACATGCTTATTCTGTCTTGAAACGTACACATATGGGGAGTTGACATGTGGACGTAGCAGGTGTACAGAGCCAGGTTTGTACGCCTTGCTCAGTTCCTTGCTCCAAACAATCTTGTCAGCTACACTCGTGCCTGTAGGGAAGGCCAGGCGCGTGTACTCTGTCTTTGGTGCTAGCGGACGTCGTCCACCCTGTTGTTCACCAAGCTTTTGTTTCCTTCTCTGATTTTTACTTAACACGGTCACAAACCCATCACTGGATGGTGGGGTGACAGTGTCACTGGTCATGGTGAGGGGGAGCCCTGATGGCCCGGCAGCTACCTCCTCCATTACTGCTTCTTCAGGCGACATTAATTTGAAATAATATCGTCCGATACCTGGTTAATACCATTTATAACCATGTGATGATGAATAACATGACAAATGGCAGGGCAAGCAGCATGCCTTACCAGTCATCAGCGCCAAAAGTCATAAACTGGTTCTGAGGGATAGAGCACTCTGGGTCTCAGAGTGCTCAGACCACTTGGTTAAACACTTGGATATTCCTCTTGGTTGGTTGGGTTGTTGTTGTTATTAAAGATTTAGCTACTCGGGACGAAGTGTCCATGTAGCACGGGCTATGGTGAGCCCGTAATTGAGTTTGGTTATACATGATAACCTTTTTCCCTGTGATATTTGGGTCTAAGTTTAAAATGGAGGAGGGGACTTCTCCTTTTTCCCTGCTTATTTATCGCTTCTGTTTTAGTGCACTGGTTTTAATCTTGTTTTATTAACATTATCTTGGTGGCGGATGTAGAAGCAGAATGCTCACTAATGAGTCCCCATTCCTCAACAGCTTTTCTAATCATTGTAGTCGCGGTGGAATGTGCAGCATCTAATGCAGCTGCTGTCGTTGGATTAATGTTGAGTTTGATGCGCAGGAGTTCAGTAGCTTCACATTCCAGTAAGTAGTGTAATAGTGGCGCCTCTGCTTCAGTTTCACAGATGTGACACTCCTTAACTATTGGGTTCATTACCTCCCAGCAGCACTTGTAACCAAGTCTGAGTCTGTGTATGGCTACTGCAATGTCTCTGGATATCTTTTTGCCAGGCTTGAAAGAGGAGTAACCAGTGGCTTGTTCGTACCATATCGCAGTGGATCTTCCTTCCGCTACTTTGGCTCTGTGGCGACTTTTGATAGGTGAGAATATTTTCTTCTTGATTTGCACCTTTATCTGTGAGAAACTTGGAGGTATTTGAATCTGTACAACAGGTAGAACAATAATTGGTTGGGACTCGCGGAGGTTATCCCTCAGTGACTTATTCTCCAATGTGTGGACAGAATGTCCCCTAAGACAGCCTAACCCTGCTACAAGGGTGAACAGATGCCCAAGTCAAGTGACCCCCCCAGATTTTACAGGTAACTGCATGGGCCACTGGACCATTCCACTTGACCTGTTGAAATGGCGAAATGAGAAGAATAAGAGAAAGTGGGGAAGATAAGTCTTATAACTAGGAATGTACAGGTGCTCTGTACAAAGCTGGCATCATTGAAGTGTTGGCGGCTGTCAACCTCCCGCCAGGGAAGGGATAGGTCAGACCGTTGGGGTGAGAATAGCTTGAGCTACCTCATCCCTTTGTGTGTATTTTACCTCAATAAACTTATTTCAATTTCAATTTCAATTTCAATTGGGTCAGTGCTCTAACCGCAAGGGTCAGAGGCCCGTGGGGGGTCAGATTACGATCCCACAACTCTCCTTGCTGTTTGTTGCCTGAAGCTGTTGATGCCCTGTGGTTCTTGCTAGAGTCTTACAGTGAGTCCCAGGTACACTGTACAGGTGATGCTGTGTTATTAGCACCAGCAACGCATCAAACACAAATGTTTCGTAGGCTTCCCCTAAGGGAGTGGAGGGGGCAGGCTAGCCTGCCTCCAAGCCTCAGGTGCCACTCACTAGTTCACTCTAGGGATCCTTTGATACTAGTGACTTATGCAATAGTGACGGAACACTCAGCAGCACAATAGTATTGTGACGATACCGCCCCGGCGATCACAGCACAAGGTTGGGTACGAGGGACTTAACCCAAAGAGGGGAGAGGAGGCGCACACATCCTCTCAGCCCAAGGCCTGGCCAGCGAGTGCATTGAGGAATGGAACACCCAAGAGGGGATTCATGTTGATGTTATATTTGTTGAGCCAGTGTGAAAGTTAACGTAGTTGTGTAGAATTAATTCTTGAACTTTGGGATAGTAATTAATTGCTCAAGGGTAGTTAACGGGGATTGCCGCTCTCTTAGCACTTTGGACATAGAAATTGTAGTAAATTATCAATGGGGCGATAGTAACCGATAACATAACTCGTTCTGGGATTAGTCAGCTGTCCGTAGTACAGGGATTAATGGGTATTACTCATTGAACGCTCGACGAGTAAGTGTTTGTGAAATTACGAGTTACTAGTGACAGTTGTACAGTTTGATTTGTCTGTTTGATTTGTTTGTTGTGAGAGACAAGATTAAGTTAACGTAAGTGTTACTTTAATATTAACGTAATCAATTAGTCATTGATTGTTAATCGACCGAGGGACGGAGTGTTAACAGAATTTAATTAAGGAGGGTTGCTGGAGTTGCATGAGTCATTGTAATGTCATTGATAGGATACTAGTTTGATTGCATTGCAACTGCTTTTGAAGGGAGGGCGGCAAGAAGCGTAAAGTAACTGAAAGGAGGTTACTGGAGACGTGTCCTAAACCTACCTTGTTTTTGTTGCATTATTGATTATAGATTAGTATGTTTTGCTTGATTGATTCCTCTGTGAACACTTAGTATGTTCAAGTTAGTTCATTTATGTAGCACAACGCGATTGCAGGAAGTAACCTGTAGCCATACTCGTGGCTGGTGTCTAACTGTTGTAAAGGTGTCACAGGAAGGATTTCGAGTAACGTCAGTGATATTTTTTTCGTTGTTGTCGTAGTTAGTACTTTGTTGAATAAACTGTGTTGTTATGTTGACCACTGTCTTTTCGCTACACCCCATATATCATTGTATTACATTTGTTCTGCCATGTTGCCTGAAATTATTCTTGCTATTCAGTTGAGACTGTCTCATGAGCTTAGAGCTCAATTCATAGCACCACACAACAAAATAATATGTTGTGAGAATCAGTAACCTACTCGTTAGATTCGCTTCGGCGATTAGCGAAGGTCGACGGCCGACGGTATCTCAAACTTTTGAAGTCTCGCCGTTTGCTCTTGCTTAGTCATTTGTTCTATGGTCTCTAGAGTGGGGAATGAGCTGCTTACTACACTTAGCGTGTTAGCTAAGCAAGCCCTTCCTCAGGAGGCCCATTTAGACTTTCAGTTTAAAGTTGACGGATGTAATACTAGAATAATCATGACGAAAACTTTCACATCTTGTAAGAGGTGGTAAAATACTAACTAAGAAGTCTGACACTGGGAAAACCTATGAAATAGCCACTGAGGCACACCTCAGATCTTTCCCCACTGACTGAAAGTTTATGGCTGAATAACCAGATGCCAAGTGAACCCCAATGCCTGGGGTCCCCTCTACAACAGAACCCTCTCAACCCCAGAATGTAACTTATAGTTCCATCTAGAAACCCAAGTGTACTATTATTCTGCCTTTCCTTTCAAAAGTATTTTAATTTTACATTTGTTTATCCCACTATTTTATATTGTTAATTTATTCTTTTGTCACTTACTGTATTGTTATTTCCTATTACTGTATTCCATTTACATAATATAAATTTTTAGTATTGCTTATTATCAATCTAAATTTTACTGTAATTTATACAAATTATAACATGTAGACTTTCAGCAGATTTAGTATTTTACTGTTCTGTAATCGCTTGCTTTATTGTATCTTGACTATAGTGTCTCCATAATATTTATTTATTTATTTATTTATTTATTTATTTATATATATACAAGAAGGTACATTGGGTTTGTGAGAATACATTGGATAGTACAGTATATACATTCTTGTAAAGCCACTAGTGCGCACAGCGTTTCGGGCAGGTCCTTAATCTAGCAGATAATTTTAAGTAGGTAATTTCAATCAGAATTGATAAATGATAAAGATACATTACAAGAGAAAAATGAGATGAGAGAGATAAGTAGGTATATTAAAGCATATTGTTATATTAAAGCTCTGATTGATTACATTGACAGCTTGATTAGTAATTTAAATAAGGTTAATAGACACCATACAGCAGATTGACAGCACATATAAGACAGCAATGATCACAATGGTAAAGATGTTCAGATTGGGTACATAAAGATTGGGAGACTGGGTAGCAAAAGATACAGATAAACAAGGTTTATAAACACCATACAACAGATTGGCAGCACATATAAGAAAACAGCAATGATCACAATGGTAAAGATGTACAAATTGGGAACATAAAGGTTGGGAGATTGGGTAGCAATTGATACAGTGCAATTTTAAGGCAAAAAGTGAAAAACTATGAAGATGAAATTAGGTACTTTTTAGTATTGATTTTGAATGATGTAAAAGTTGGACAGCTTTTCAATTCAGTAGGGAGTGAGTTCCATAAACTGGGTCCCTTTATTTGCATAGAGTGTTTACACAGATTAAGTTTAACTCTGGGGATATCAAAGAGATATTTATTTCTGGTGTGGTGATAATGGGTCCTATTACATCTGTCCAAGAAGAGTTTCAGACAAGGATTTGCATTTAAGAACAGGGTTTTGTAAATGTAGTTGACACAAGAGAATTTGTGGAGTGAGATTATGTTTAGCATGTTTAGGGAGTTAAACAAGGGGGCTGTGTGTTGTCTGAAAGCAGAATTTGATATTATTCTGATAGCAGATTTTTGCTGGGTGATGATGGACTTGAGGTGGTTAGCAGTGGTTGAACCCCATGCACAGATACCATAGTTGAGATAGGGATAGATTAGTGCATAATATAGAGAGATGAGAGCAGAGTTGGGAACATAATATCTGATTTTGGAGAGTATACCAACTGTTTTAGAGACTTTCTTAGTTATGTGTTGTATGTGGGTACTGAAGTTGAGTCTCTTGTCTAGGAATATGCCAAGAAACTTTCCATCATTTTTATTGCTAATGTTTACATTGTCAATCTGAAGTTGAATTGCATTTGTAGATTTGCTTCCGAATAGGATGTAGTAGGTCTTTTCTATGTTAAGTGTTAGTTTGTTGGTTGACATCCATAAGTGGACTTTTTTTAGTTCATTATTAACAACACCATTTAGTGTATGTGGGTTGGGGTGAGAGTAGATGAGGGTAGTATCATCAGCAAACAAAATAGGTTTCAGAATGTTAGAGACATTAGGCAGATCATTAATGTATATAAGAAAAAGAAGAGGTCCCAAGATGCTGCCCTGTGGCACTCCAACAGTTATTGGTAGAATGGGAGAGATTATATTATTGATGGCTACACATTGGTGTCTATCACTAAGATAGGATTGGATATAGTCCAGTGCATGGCCTCGGATTCCATAATGATGGAGTTTACTTAAGAGGTAATCATGATTAACAGTATCAAAGGCCTTTCTCAGGTCAATGAAAAGTCCAATTGGAAACTCATTTTTGTCAAGAGCTGAGTAAATTATATCAAGGAGACTAATAATTGCATCGTTGGTACTCTTTTGAGAGCGGAAGCCAAACTGACAGGGGCTAAGAATGTCGAATTTTACGAGATAGGAGTAGAGCTGTTTATAGATAATTTTTTCAAATATTTTTGATAGTATGGGTAGGTTCGATATTGGTCTATAGTTGTTTATGTCTGACGGATTACCTCCTTTATGGACTGGCGTTACTCTTGCTTTTTTAAAGATATCAGGGAAGGTATGACACTCAAGGGATTTGTTGAACAGCAGAGCTATAGGTGGCGCAAGGGTATGGGAGGCGCTCTTGTATACAATGGATGGGATTTCACTGATGTTCCCAGCTTTGGATTTTAGTGAGTGTATGATGGACACAACATCTGTCGGGCTGACTGGTGAGAGGAGAAGAGAGTTTGGATAGCTGCCTGAGAGATATGTGTTGATATGTGTCTGAGTCTGTGGGATTTTACTTGCAAGGTTAGCACCAACCGATGAAAAGAAGCTATTAAATTCATTCGCCATTTCTAAGTCAGATGACAGGGTAAGGCCATCCTTAGAGAGTGTTATCTGGTTGTGGGAGTGTTGTTTAGTTCCCAGGATGTTAGAGATGGTATTCCATGTGCTTTTCATGTTGCCTTTTGCTTCTTTGAATCTAGTCTCATAATATGAAAGTTTTGCTTTTCTTATGATACTGGTAAGCACTGACGAGTACCTTTTAACTACTTCCACTGAAACTAGGCCACTCCTAAATTTCTTTTCGTATTCATACGAAATATGCAAGCTGATATTAACCCTGAACTAAATCTGCTGTCAGACATCTACAATAACCAGCATATTGATCAACACTCCTGCAGGTATTACACAGCAAACCTTGCAAAAAAACAAACTCCAAAATAATACTTGCCTATCAGTTTTCAACCAAAATATCAGATCACTCGGTAAACATTCTATGATGTAAATTCACTACTCACAGCACTGGGTACTAAACTATCGATCATTATTTTACCAAAAACATGGCTGAGTAAAGATCATACCAAACTTTAAAACTTAGCTGGTTATAAAGCCATTCACAACTGTAGGCCAAATAAAAAAGGAGGTGGCACAGCTATCTATAACCAAAATACCTTTATTTGCAATAGTGTTACTAGTGATAGAGACGATTACTGTGAATATACCTTTGCTCAATTCTCGATTAAATTCCTTAAATACTCTTTGATTATTGGAGCAATCTATAGATTTCCCAATAATAATATAACTGCATTCTCAGATAACCCAATGAATCTTATCATAAACTACAAACTCAATAAAAATCTCATCATTCAAGGACGTGACTTCAAATTTGACCTATTTCAACAAAATAGCCCTCACGTTCACTATTTCCTAAACAGCATGAATTCCAGTATGTTAATCCTTACAATCACTAAGTCCACCCGATTCATTCAAACCTCCGCTACTACCTAGACCACTTATAAACTAATATAACAACACCCTTTGCATCTGGTATAATCACTGGCAGAACAACTGACCACTATCCTATCTAACACTTCCAGATACCCAGAAACTTATCTTCAGGCTACACAGTGAAGCAGCAATTGGCAATCTCACAAATGCACTTCACAATATAAACTGGGAATCTGAACGCAATAATTCACAAGATATAAATTCATTAGCCATCATCTTCCTTTCCAAAACTTTAAGCCTTTAGAACACTCATTGCCCTCTCCTCGCCAAGGAAGTAACTGGCAAAAGATTAAACAATCCCTGGCTCACAAGTGGCATGCTCAAAGCAATCAACAAGAAACATGAATATGAAAAAACTTAGGATTGGCCTAGTTACAAAAGTAGAAGATAAGAGATCAATGCTTACTCAATAAGATCAATATCAATCAAGATCAGTATCAATATGATAATCAATGATTACCAGTATAATAAAAAGATCGAAACTTTCCTATTATGAGAGTAGATTCAAAGAAGCAAAATTGAACATTAACAACATATGGAAAGTCATCTCTAACATCCTAAGATCTAAACAGCAATCACATAACAAGCAGATAAAATTCTCCAACAATGGTTATACACCTGCAACAGATTTAGAAACGGCAACTGAATTTAATAGCCTCTTTTCATCAGTTGGTGCTAACCTTGCCAGAAAAATCCCACAGCATCAGATACATGTTACTACATATCTTACAGGCAGCTATCCAAACTCTCGTCTCCTTTTACCAGTCAGCCCGACAGATGCTGTTTCCATCATTAACTCACTAAAAAACAAAGCTGGGACCATTAGTGAAATACCATCTATGGTATACAAGAGTACCGCCCCTACCCTTGCGCAACCCATAGCTCTGCTGTTCAACAAATCTCTAGAGTGTCATACCTTTCCTGATATCCTTGAAAAAAAGCCCGAGTATGCCAGCTCATAAAGGATGCGATACGGCAGTATGAATCTAAGATGAGGTCTGATAAAGACCTTTTGTGCCCTCTGTAATGTTTTTGCGCTACCGCTCACAGGATGAATATGGGGTGCGCAATAAACTAGCCGCCTTCGGCGGCAACAATCAATCAAGACATAAACGATTACAGACCAATATCAAATCTACCTATATTATCAAAATTATTTGAAAAATTTATTTACAAACAGCTCTACTCCTACCTCGTAAAATTCAGCATACTATATCCCTGTCAGTTTGACTTCTGCTCCCAGAAGAGTACTAACGATGCTATTATTAGTCTGCTTGATATAATCTACACAGTCATTGAAAAAAAAAGTTTCCAATTGGATTCTTCATTGGCCTTTGATACTGTTAACCATAACTTCCTCATACTTAAACTTCACCATTATGGAATCCAAGGCCTTGCCCTGAACTATAGTCGATTCTATCTTAGTGACAAACACCAATATGTAGCCATCAATGATATAACCTTCCCCACTCTACCATTAACCATAGGAGTGCCACAGGGTAGCATCCTAGGATCTTTCCTACTTCTTATATACATCAATTATCTGCCCAATATCTCTAACATTCTTAAACTTATACTATTTGCTGACGATATTACCTTTATCTACTCTGACCCCAACCCACACACACTAAATAATGTTGTAAATAACGAATTAAAAAAGTCAGCTCACGAATGTCAACCAACAAACTCTCACTAAACATACACACCGTCGCTCTACCGCTGGATGAAATGGACTTGTTCTGAGGACGGGTTACAGGCGAATACCCCCCGAGGGCAAGCACCGGCAACCCATACCAAACACAGGGTAACAACCCCGGCGGAGTGAGAGCCAGCCGCCCTCCACATCCAGATGGAACTCAGGTGCCTCCAGGGCCCGCCAGACCCCAGTACCTCACAGTCAAGCCGGCTCCGGACCCCTGCTCAACGCCCAAGGCACAAACTGGAAAACGCTGGAACATCTATCACTGCCAGGAAACCACACCTTTTCTCGTAGCAGCTGTTTGGTCCTAACAAGACCTTGATGTCCAAGCTTCAGAGCACGGTGCTGGAGAACTGCTGGAATGATGATATGAGTACATAGTGATTGTACCTAACAGCACAGTGTCGCGTTGTTGCGTAACACTCAATTATGTCTGGATACGTCCAAGTGCTTTGAATGCATCTTGGTCAACCCTGAGGGTAGGTTGTGTGGAAACTTTATCTAGGTCAATGCATCCACTGTTGCTTGCAGAGTTGGGTCCTCTAGAGTTGAAGTACGGATTTCATCAAGAGTGAAGGGCCTTAGGGACTGCATTGCAGGTTACAGTGTACATATTCCTCGGCAACTTGTTGATGTTTGGTGATGGTGAAACTGTCGGCAGGATGTCGACTGATGTAATCAGCGGGATTACCTACACCCGGCTTCTACTTCACAGTAAAGTTGTATGGTTGCAGACGAAGAGCCATCTCTCAATGCAATCTGGAGGTTTGAATTTCAGATTATTGAAGATGGTCTCCAATGGTTTGTGGTCAGTGACTATCGTGGTGATGGGTGCACCAAGCAGATACACATTGAAGTGTTCACAGCCCAAAACAAGAGCAAGAGCGTCCTTCTCTGTCCGACTGTATAGTTGTTCAACATCTGTGAGAGAACGGCTGGCGTAGGCAATTACTACTCTGGAATCTGGCTGATCAGGTTTGTAGTTGGACTAAAACAGCACCTAAACCAACAGGACTAGCATCTACCGTTAGCTCAGTGTCCAATGATGGGTCAAAATATGCATCAGTCGCATTCTCTACTAGTGCATCTTTCACAACAACAAATGCATTTTGCTCTACATCACTCCAGTACCATGATGCATTCTTCTTCAAGAGCTCACGTAGAGGCTTTGTAATGGTATCAAAATCTGGAATGAAGCGAGAACAGTAGTTTGCCATTCCCAGAAAACTTTGTACTTCAATGGACGTTGAAGTAGGTGCAGCATTCTTGATATCTGCAACTTTCTTAGGCTCTGGAGACAGACTTTTGTCACTAAGTACATGTCCAAATAATTCAATTGTATATTGATTGAACTCACACTTTGCTAGGCTAAGCGTCAGATTCTTTTCTCGTAAGCACTGCAATGTTGCACGAAGAGCCTTGTCATGTTCAGCTTGGATACGGCCATAAACAATGATGTCATCCGACATATTGTCAGCATTAGGTATATCTCGCAATACCTGGCTGATGATATGCTGGATTATCTCAGCAGCACTGTTAATGCCAATACTCAGCCACTTGTACTTATACAGACCTCGATGTGTTGTTAACGTTGTGATGAAGCGACTATCATCATAAAATTCAAGCTGATGATAACCCTTGTTTAAATCTAACTTGCTGAATACACTTGCACCTTTCAGGCGGAATATCATATCATCTACAGTGGGAGTAGGATGGCGTTTATGCATTATTGCCTTGTTGGGAACACGCATATCGACACAGATGTGTATCTCTTCAGGATTCTTCGGCTTTGGCAGAGTGACAATTGGGCTTACCCATGGTGTTCTATCACCCTATCCAGTTTGGCATCGACTTTCTTGTGAGTATGGAATGGCTGTCGGGGATGTGGTTGGCAACTGGAATTACATCTGATGTACTTTGCTAGCTGTATAACAACCTATGGATTTAAATCGATCAGAGAATTCAGCAACAATTGCATCAACAATGTTTACAGATGTCACTGTTACAGTATTAGAAAGCTGAAGTAGCCCCAATTTGGTTGAAGTCTTGTAACTGAGAAGGGAACTCCCTTGCATTCCTAACAACATGGAATATAGTAGTGAGCATGGCACTCTTTGACTTAATCTATGTAGTGAAAGTTCCAACCACTGGCAAGGCTACCTTTGAAGTATAGGCAGTGGCTTTACCATTGTAGTTCTCAAGCTTTCGGAACTGCCTTTTTTTAACTTCTCATAGTGGCACTCAGCAATGGTGTTAATGTTTGATCCTGTGTCAGTGAGAACTTTGAGACAAATACCAGCAATGAATACTATAGTCTCTGGGTTGTTTGGAAGATCATTCCATTCTGTGGTTGATTGTACTCCATAAGTATAGTTGTTGGGAAGAAAGCTTACTCTCTATTAATTGATTGATATTTAATTAATAGATTAATTTAAATTAATCGAAGGACCACCCTATTTTGACTGAAAAGGGAAACAGATAAAGTTAAATGATAAGGACTGAAACACCAGTGCCTATGGATAAGAAACTATTAAAGATTATTCTTTAAACTTCAATGGGCTGTATAATATATTAATGTTCGAGAATAAACTTTCCGTCCTTCACAAAATGGGGGGTTAATACCAGAAGTAATCTACTCCCAGTACGCTTCATCGAGGCTGGTTCTTCCTCGAATAAAATTAGTAATTTCTACTAAATACTATATTAAGAAACATTAGATAAATTGATTAATGGTAAAAAGATTATATGTTGATTAACCAAGAAATTATTCTCATTTGACTTTTATGAGGCTATCATATTACGTTAGATATCTCAAATCAAATAAACTAAATGTCTTCGACTGATAATCGATTCTAGAATTTTCTCAATCAAAGAAATAATAGAAAAGGGTTCAGCTGCTTAGCTGTAATAGTGAACGGAGAGGTAGAGGTGCAATGGCGTCGTCTGCTACTTGCTGCAACACGTGAGCTCGAGCATGGCGTGGGAACATGGGGACCATGACCGCTTACAACACAAGCTGAAATTTCAACTGAATATACTAATTGTTTACACCTACTATCTAGTATGCTCACTATGCCATAGAAGGAATAAAATTAATTCCTTATGGACGTACTTATTGTTTGGGGAGGTCGCGTAGCGTAACGATGGACAGTGCACAGTAAAAAGATATACACAGAGATCTCATGATATAACTAATACTAGGGCACTTAACCTGCTGGTCGTCCACTGAAGCAATCCCAGATTGCTACTGGAGCAATTGCACGCTCCTAGGCCGATTAACTGCAAGGGCCTAACGTAGAATTGATGGAAATTCGACTCTCCCGGGACGCACGATGTGATTGTTGGCGTCGCTTGATAAGCCAGATGGCGAATGGCGTCTCTCTGCCTTCCTCTCTCAACTCGTCTCACGCATTCACAACAGAATTTAATAATCACGGATAATTCTTTTCCGTGTAATTACTGATGTAATGCGTTAATGAGAATAGGGTTGCAATTATAGGGAATTAAATAATATCATATTCTTGTTAAATGGTGTTAATCGAGAAATGCAGAGAAATTTTATTTCCTCCATAGCATTCGTACATAACAGATAAAACTGTTACTTGATAATAATCTCAGTTAATAACTCTCGGTTTTGGATTATTGGGACTATATTATCCGTAGTTAATTATTGTACGGAATACTGATAAATTTAGAGAACCCCCCATTCAATTCTCTAACATATTGGGAATAAATATGTTTATATGGACATTATCTGACGCAATCCTGCCTCTCGAATGTCGTGAGAATATTAGCAATATGCTCAGATAAAGAAATATTAATTTGTGTTAACACTACCGTTAGTGGAATTAATAACTACTGTAATTAGTATATAATAATGATGTATTATAATACAATGGTAGTGTGTCAGTGTTGGAAATTTCCAACACGGCAGAACCGTTGTTGGCACTGCACTCCATGACAGGATCATCACGTGCAGTATCTTCCATTCAACGAGCAATGTCCAGTATCTTGGTAAGAGAACTTTCATCATCAACAAGTTCTAGAGCTCTTCGACGGAAACGTGTAGATGTGCAGGTTTAAATTATTTGTTGTTTGATTTCTTTGTCAACATCAGCAAACTCACAATGTGCTGCTAAACCCTGTAGACGTGTGTGGTATTGATCTACAGTTTCATTAAAGATTTGTTTGGCTCTCCTGAAACGCATAATTTCCATAGCAGTGTTTTGTCTAGGTTTGAAATGTTCAGATAATCTGGCTTTGGCAATGTTATAATCTTTGTCACCACCAACATCTTTTATTGTGTCAAAGATGTCACAAACTCGATCACCTGGCTTATTTCAAAGTGATTCCAACTAGTGTAGAAAATGATGAAGTGCAAAGTTGAACAAACAATAATGAAAAAATAAGTTATAACTCAACAAACAATTCATCATTGGATATTCTTGTGTTTAAGAACTCTCATCCTATACGTCATTGTAAACGCCCTAAGCGATTTGATGATTAATTGTGTTCCTATTTAATACTAAGTATTTACTTATTATGCTAAATTTAATATTGTTTGAATAATGCAGATCTCTCATTCAATATTTTGTAGCTTTGTAGTATAGTTTCTTTCATTTTTGTTTAATATTGCATTTGTATTTTTAACATTGAAATCCTGAGTGGTAAAGATTAAGTTGTTTAAATTCTTTGTGTGCTTTATCATGTAAAATGTATGCAACATCTTTTGATATGTTAATAACTTACTTTGTGTCAATAACTATGCTTTGTGCTACAAGCATGGTAGACATCCTGTATTCATTCTTTTTAAAGAAAATGAGGGATGTCATGTTCATAGCAAACGGCATCATCCATTTGTATGCGCTGTGTTTCATACGCCAGCAGAATGACGGTAAACAACAGGGAGCGTGCAGGTCGCCCGCCAAGCTTGGACGCTGCTAGTCACGTATCTTTATAAGTATTAAAGTCAGTAACCAAGCAATGGCTTTATATCAACCCTACAACCAAGACCTCCACATGCTTCTCCCTTGGGTTTTGAGCTGGACGAATACCGGCGTTCACTTTTCATCCTCGTCGCCAGTGTGGTGTTTAGTGTTGCGTTCCCCCCCCCCCCCCCACCACCTCCCAAGGCCGAATTACTGACCCCGCTCAGGATGCAACGTCACAATAAGCTGACTAACACACTGCTAGGTGAAAAGAGGCATTAGGTGAAACGAAACGTGCCCAACCATTTCTGTCTCGAACCCGGAATTCTCGATTGTGCGTCGAGAGGGAACTCGACTGTACAATCGGGACTGTCTTATTGTTTTAGATTCCAAATAGCTCGGGCTATGGTGAGCCCGTAAGTGGAGGCTCTTTGGAGGTCATTATCTGTATCAATAGCTGATACTAGAGATCTGGGGATGGATGGGGGCCGTCATGGTGGTTTTCAGCCCTGGAGGGCTGGCTGTACCAGTTATGGAGCTGGTGAGGTTAGTGTGACCTCTAGGTCTTCCGTTTTTTCTTTGCCTGAGACTTTGGCTGAGCAATGATGTCGCTGGAGTTTGGTGAGGTGGTCTCTATGAGGAGGTCTTGTACCGAGTAGGTGTCATATTTGGGGTGCGGCGGTGGAGCTCCTACTAAGAATTCCTCGTCTGAGGAGTCCGTAACCTCAATAGTTGGTGTTTTCGTCTTTCGCCTCGCAGCCTGAGGTAGGCTCAGGTATCGGTAATTCATGGTAGAAGGTAATTCAGGAGCGTTGGTAGTGGTGTTATCATCTGCTGAAATGATGATGGCGCTAGCGCGGCTGTTGAGATGGTGATGGTAGGAGTGTAGGGAGCTGGAGAGGGAAATACCTCTGTTTGTGCCGCCCTTTTTTTGGGTGGTTCTGGAGTCTGTGTTGAAATCGACCTTGTGGTGGTCGTCCTGGTGGTAGTCTCCGGAGTGGTAGTGGAGGCAGTGAGACTTGCGCCAGGGGGTCTGATGGGGTCCAGGCCATTGGCTAGGTATAATTTATTTATTTATTTATTTATTTATTTATTTATTTATTTATATATATACAAGAAGGTGCATTGGGTTTGTGAGAATACATTGGATAGTACAGTATTTACACTCTTGTAAAGCCACTAGTACGCGCAGCGTTTCGGGCAGGTCCTTAATCTAACAGATAATAATGTGTTTAGTTTACTAACAAAACGGTAGTTGTCTGGTCCGGCAAGCCTCTCCGCTAGTCTAATAAATCCAGGGATAATGCCTGCACATAATGTAGGGGGTTGTGAAGGAGACTGTGGGTTCTTGGGTCCCCACTGTGAGGGCTGGGTCGCCTGGTGGAGGAGCCACTCTTTGGTAAGAATGGAAAGTCTTCTGGTGGGTTGGTGGGAGCTGAGGTAGTGAGTTAAGCGCCTTTCTATCTCTGGTCTCGGAGATAGAAAGGTTGTTTCTCTTGGCTTCAACCTGGGCCTTGATGTTTTCCTGTCTGCTGGGGCAGCGGTAGGAAATTGCGGGATGATTGCCATCACAGAGCAAGCAGCGATGGGTTGTTGCCTTGCATATGGAGTAGTGATGGTACAGTGCGCACAGGCTGCACGACGGAACGCTGACACTTGTTGGTGGGGGGGGTACGAGAGCTCGTACCACTTGAAGCACTGCTGGATATCATGGTATTATTCGTTTTTTACCTGGTGGGATTGTATTTGTAAACCGAAGCAGTAGAAACCTTGTGTGGCAGCCTGGGTAGCCGCAGCTCTGGTGGTAAGAGTAATCTTCATTGATGATTTGTCGGTGCTGCAGAACTCTGGGTTGAATACGCCCAGGTTCGGATTTTCGTCCTCGATATTGTCCATGACCTTATGTTGCGGTCGGCCTGCGATCCACTTGCTGGTCCTGCTAGTAAAAACAGTTCTTCCGGCCAGGAACTGACGTGGGAAGTGAGGATGTAGGTGGAGCTCCTTGCGAAGTATGACATCGTAAGGCCAAGAGTTTTTCTAGTTCTTCGTCGCGTGAAATGAAGAACGCGATATCATCACCTTCCTGACTAATGTCAGTGGGTGTGATGTCGGCCACGTCCTACAGGACCTTTAGAATATTGCTTCTCCCGAAGCATGACCGTCATGGGGGGTAGCTCTAACCTTTAGAAGTTTGGGTCACAATGTGTCCACATCCTCAATGGGAAGCAGTGTGAATGGATGCTGTACTACAGGGACCCTAAATTTATGTACTTATGCACACAGGTACTTATGCCAATCACTTGCTCCCCACCCCTCACCAGCACCCTCACCAGTACCCTCACCAACCTAACATGGCTCATTAGTAACCCCTCTCCCCCTCTCTTCTCTCAACCTCCATCCTACTCTCGTCTTCAGCGCTTATCCCATGAAGAGTTACGGACTGCGTCCATGCTGCGTACCTGAAGGCTAAGGATGATCCGAGGCTTTGGTGATTATCTTCCCATATTTCTCATGCACAATTGCCTTCCTAGCATATCTGTCCCTCATTCTTATCTCCTAAGACCAGTCCCATTCTCTCCCACAGTACAAATTCCCCAACATTCTCACATTCCTTCAGCCGCTACATCTTCTACAGTTTCCCATACAGTTCCAGCCAGCACCTCGCCGGCCGACACAGAAAACGGACCTTTTGACAACCGTAACGATCCCATACCATCCCAAACTCACCTTTTTATTTATAATTCTAGTAATTAATTCATTGTGTCGAAGGACAGAAAGCCAGAGTGTATTCATACATGTTTTGGCTTCTATCAAGGTCCCCCTCCCACCCCAAGGCCAAATTACTGACCCCGTCCAAGATGCAGCCCCACAACAGTGGAAACAACCTCAGCAGTGGAAACAGGAGGCCAGACACAGGATACCGAATAGGAGATGAAGTCCTTCATGAAAAGGACAGAGAGAAGGATCTAGGAGTTGATATCACACCAACCCTGTCTCCTGAAGCCCACATCAAAAGAATAACATTTGCGGCGTATGCGAGGCTGGCTAACATCAGAACTGCCTTCAGGAACCTGTGTAAGGAATCATTCAGAACCTTGTATACCACATATGTAAGACCAATCCTGGAGTATGCGGCCCCAGCATGGAGCCCTTACCTTGTCAAGCACAAGGCAAAGCTTGAAAAAGTTTAGAGATATGCCACTAGGCTAGTCCCAGAACTAATAGGCATGAGTTACGAAGAAAGTCTGCGAGAAATGCACCTCACGACACTAGAAGACAGAGGAGTAAGGGGAGACATGATCACTACCTGCAAAATTCTCAGGGGAATTGACAGGGTAAATAAAGATAAACAACTGTTTAACACGGGTGGTATGCGAACAAGAGGACACAGGTTTAAACTGAGTACCCAAATGAGCCACAGGGACGTTAGAAAGAACTTTTTCAGTGTCAGAGTAGTTAACAGATGGAATGCATTAGGCAGGGATGTGGTGGAGGCTGACTCCATACACAGTTTCAAATGTAGATATGATAGAGCCCAGTAGGATCAGGAATCTGTACATCAGTTGATTGATAGTTGAGAGGCGGGAACAAAGAGCCAGAGCTCAACCCCCGCAAGCACAATTAGGTGAGTACAATTAGGTGAGTACATGGGTTCATTCATACTCTGCACCACTTACAATCGTCCCAATACAGGTATTCTTGAGCAGGATATTAACATGATCGTCAATTACGCTAACTTACTTTTCGACCAACATGGTTAACAACTTCATTAACTATGTATTCAAAAACGTCTCTCCTTCCTTTGACCTGACCTATTTCTCCCACTCTGGCTCTGGGCGGCCTGATCTCATTCTCATCATTATACTTGGCAATCATCACCAACACCTCATCACACCTGAGCCCCTCACGGGGTCTCATCACATTCCAGTAATACTCACATTCTCCACCAACCCCATTCTCATTCCATCCCAGCCACTCCTCACTTCTCCTATCATCAGGCAAATTGTGACATGTTCATGCAGCACATCGACGCCACTGACCTCACACTTGATTACACAAACAACAAAATTCAAGACACCATTATACCAGCAGCTATCGCCTCCATCCACGAGGCAAACCACAAAATTCGCTTCACATACACCCATTCTATTCGTTCCAAACGCCTGTTGATGACCAGACCACACACTAGAAGGTGAAGGGACGACGACGTTTCGGTCCGTCCTGGACCATTCTCAAGTCGATTGTCATCGCTTCCAAACGCCTCTTAGTTCGTTATTTCAGCAGATTTTCGCACAACTTACATTGCTCTGGACAGGTACTCTGGGACCTCGCTACACTCAGAAATCACATTCTCAATAGCCTACATGAAGACCACACCAAACACTGGAAACACGGCATAGAACAAGCTGAACAACATAAAAAACAAACACCTCAAGAATTCTGATCTCAGATCAAACGTTTACAGGCATCAACTCATACACTATTTAAATGCTAACTACAGAATGCTATAACAATCACAAAACTAGATGATGTACTCAATATTTTCAAACACCTCTGCGAGAACATCTTTCATCCGCTTCTTCCACAATATACCTTCAATACCCTTTGTTTACTCGGCTATGTAAATAGTTATTAACACGGTCATATCACATGGTCATATCGCACCCTATCTTTCCCACACCCTTTACCTTCTTTCCCCATTACAAGGTAAGGGGGGTGGGGGAGAACACTAACCCCCTTACCTCCCCGCCCCTTACCTTCCCCTTCCCTTTCGACCTTATCTCCTCACACCTTTTACCTTACCCTCCCTCACCTTCCCCAACTCCTTTGTACCCTTATCTCCCCTCACCCTTTACCTTCCTCCACTACCTATTCATCCCGTACCTCCCCCAATACATCTCCCCCATTTCCCAACTTATCCAAACCTTCAATAATCCTACTTTATATGTATATTTTTTCTATATTCACTGCGTTATTCGCATTCTCTTCCATGTTTTCTGTGTTCATTCATATTTCTTCAAATATTCACAGCATATTCATTTCATATTTTTCACCAGTTTCTCCATTTTTCTGTAATCTTTGTCATAGTCTCATAATGTTCTTTGCACATTCTAATCATATTTTCTATGTTCTTTATCATGTTTTCATGTTCTCTGTAAGTTTATATTCCCTGCATGTTCACTGTGTTCATCACCTTCACTTACATGTTTTCTGTGTTCTTTGGCACATTCCCCCACAAGTTCACTGTGTTCATCATCATCTTTTCTTACATGTTTTTCTAAATTTTTTGTCATGTTCACTGTGTTCTTTGTCATGTTCCCCGTATGTTCACTGTATTCAACACATTCTCTTGCATGTTCTTTAAAATCAAACGTACAAATGTTTTCTTCCATTCAGTACTAATTTACCCAGACATACTTTTCTTGTTGCTTTAACTAAAATCACTTGTCATTCAACAAAAGGAACTTGAACGATTAACCTCGTTCAACGCTGTTCTTAACTAAAAATAGCCTTTTTCTCTTAGCTAAATAGTCAAAGGAAACTTTCCAACACTGTTCATAACTAACTTTATCCATCGTCATTCAACTAAAAAAATAGTCACTTTCATCATATTTTGAACTAAAATTATTTATCAATCAACTAAAAATATTCATGTTCATCATGTTTACCTATCGTTTCTTAACTAAAATTATTCTTCCCCCCAACTAAAAATAGTCAAATGTAACTTCTTTCAGCTCTTTCGTAACTAACAATATACTTCGTGGAGTACAAAAATAGTCAAGTGTAGCTTCGTTCAATACTTTCTAAACTAACATTACTTCGTGGAGTACAAAAAATAGTCAAAGACACTCTTCGAGACATCAAGGACACACTCAGAGACTCCAAAGTTACTCTTCAAGACATCAAAGTTACTCTTCGAGACGTAAAAGACTCTCTTCGAGGCATCAATAACACATTCAAAGACATCAAAGAAACACCCAAAGGACACACTCAGAGACACCACAAAATAGTCTTCGAGACTTCAAAGACACTCTTCAACACATCAAAGACACTCTTCGAGACAACAAAAATACATTCAGAGACACCAAAGTTACTCTTCATTACATTTACATGCCGAGTAAACAAAGGGTATTGAAGGTAAGATGCAATATGACCGTGTGATATTTATTACCATGTGAATATTAGCTCGTTAGTGATTATTTACATGGCTGAGTAAAAAAAAGGGTAATAAAGGTGATAGACTTGAGTTGTTGTTGTTGTTAAAGATTTGCTACCTGGAACAAAGAGTTCCAAGCAGCACGGGCTATAGTGAGCTCGTGTAGACTTGAGAGCGTCTTGATCTGAATTAATTTTGATGAGCACTGAACTAAAGCGGAGGACAAGAGTTGGATCTCGGTTAAAGTCTTGATTTATTTTACTATGGTACAAATATATTGATCTTAAATCTCAGGGAATAGTCTGACAATAAAGAACTTGTACAAATGAGCTAAGGTGGGGACGAGAGTTGGAGCTCGATAATTCTTTAGATCTATTTTACTATGACTGAAATAGAGAGATTTTAAATTTCAGGGAAATTGGTTTGTTACTAAAGATATACAAATGAACTATGATGGAAGGCTGGAGCTGGAACTCGATAATTGTTTGGATCTTATTTACTGTGTCTGAAATACAGCTGGTTTAAATTTCAGGACTTTGATAAGATATTAACAAGATATGAGAGGGGGGGTTAAGGTGGGCAACAAGAGCTTAAGCTCAGTAACTAAATTATTGTATTTTATGACGTCTGAAATCTCTATGTTTTAAATCTTAGAGGAATTGGTTAGATTCTAAAGAATATATGCGAGGGAAGTAAGGGAGGGGGACAGGAGCTGGAGCTCGGTAATTGTTTGGATCTTATTTATTGTGTCTGAAATATAGCTGGTTTAAATTTCAGGGACATTGATAGAATATTAATGAAGATATGAGAGGGGGTTAAGGTGGGGACAGGAGCTAGAACTCGGTAATTGTTCGGATCTTTTTCACTACGTCTGAAATAACTACGTTTTAAGTTTCAGGGGATTGGACTGTTAGTATTAAATATACGACAGGGGACTAAGGAAGGGACATGAGCTAGAGTTTGGTAACTGCATTGATATTTTTACTACGTGAGAAATATGACAATGAAATATGATATGAAATATGAGAAATATGTTTTAAATTGGGCTAAAATTGGGCTGTTAGTAGCGAAACTACACTTATAAATATGTTCTCTATCAAATTTTGGTCTTAGAATGGTCTCTGTCATATATTAAGGTCACAACTAGACTCTGATAATATTTGAATTTTCTCCATAAGAACTCTTTAAGAACGTAGGTGTAAGTAAAACCCTGAAATATTTTGGACTCAAAGTGGACTCTGATTAATTTTGGTCTCAAAGTAGTCTCTGTCAAATTTTGGTCTCTAAACGAACTTTGCCTAATTTTTGGTAATGAACTGGACTCTGACTAATTTTGAGTCTTTATGGGACTCTGTTAAATTTTGGTCTCAAAGTGGACTCTGGCGAATTTCAGTCTTAAAATGAACTTTGCCTTGATTTTCGACCATAACCTGGACTCTGACTAATTTAGGTCTTTTACTGGATTCTGACATTATTTGGGTCTAAAATAATCTGTCTCATTTTAGTTTTATATGGTCCTAAAAATTATTTCGGTCTTAAATGGACTCTGAAGAAAATTGGTTTTCAAATGGTCTCTGAATAATTTTCGGTCTTTTACAGGTGAAATAACTGTAAAAGGATATAAAAGCTAAAACTTATTGCTAAGATGTCTATTTTCCTTAACAAAACTTCTATGACAATATTCTCTGATTTTTTTTTTTTTACCAAATTTCGGTTTTACACTCGTAAATTCTATGATTATATGAACTCAGAAATATTTTCGTAAAACGGAACTCTGAAAAATTTTGAATTTCTCCCATAAGAACTCATGAAGAACGTATGAGTGATTTTCGGTCTGAATGTAATACCACTATACTAACTAATAATGTACACACTACTACGTATCCTGAGTAACACTTCCTATCGGTTGCACTTGGTAACACTGTTATTGAACACTGTAATATGAGCTGACATATGATGGTTACACCGGAACCAAAAGGTACACTGCAAACAATGAAATGCTACACAGGACTAAATAACGCTGCCACCACCATTGAGACTATATCAAGCAACGAGGCAAGAAACATTGCTTGACTTGGAGAGTACTTTCTATGACTGTCATTAATTATGGGACAGTTGTCAGCCAATATATCCAAAAGGCTAAGAGGATTCAACAATTGACACAGGCGGGAAATTTAACATGAGTTTATTGAGACCAAAATTATGCTAATCACCACTTATAAATCCTACTCTAACACTGGCCAAAAGTTAAGAAATTTGGACATGGAACAAAACCTCAGAGATCACACACATTACCTTAAGACCTCTGTCTCTCCATCCGGTGGAATCACTCTGTCACTCCCTCTGTGAGATGTTCTTTACAGACCTCTCTCGACCCCGGTGTCCCGCACTCTGTCCCTAAGTCTGCTATAGGACCAATATATACACCCTAAAAGGGGGGAGGGGGAGATTTGCTGTTGCTATGTACACCAAAAAGAGGTCGGGCCACACATGCACAAACACTCAAGAATTTCCATTAAACTTGTTTGACATTCACCATACACTGTTCAAGAGAGGAATTATTAATTACGTGTGTGACTGACCTTTGACCTGGCTAAAAGGGGGAGATCCATGGATGTTATTTGAAACTAGCTGACTAAGACTAACCCAGGAATTTTTTAATCAACATACAAGATAATCTGGAGGTCATCTGGGCTCACCTCTTGGAGAAGGCTTCCCTGGGTGTGAACTCTAAGGAAGGGGGGGGTCATGCATGTTACATGAATTTACCCCATAAGAATTCTAAACAAACATTTATGAACACTTTATCCAAAATTGGTCCTTGAAAAATTTCAGTCTTTAACTCTGAAAAAATATAAGGTAACACGAAGCGCTAAACTGGATATTTCAAATGATAAGGTAACCCCACAGATTAAACAGGGTTACCCGTTTAATTTTCCAGTGGGAAAATTAACTGGAAACCCCACAGCTTAAATGGGACTGGCAATTTGATCAGGAAACCTCACAGCATAAACGGGATTTCCAAAAAAATCCCGTTTACACCGTCTATTTTCCAGGGCTGAAAAAAAAAATCACATTTACGCTGTAATCCCTACTACTCATAGATACTCCAACGTAAGAGTGTTTCAACCAGTGAGGCTTATATCTGGAATGTTTGTCAGTGAGTAGGTCATTGTCCTCTAAGTTTTCCCGAAATGCTATGTGGATTAGTGGCTTTAGGTATTGTATGTACTACCTCTTATCTTTAAATCCAACATTATGTTTGTTACTCATCTTCAATGTCCGTACCTTTACCTGAAAAAAAATCTTAATCTTAATTTTAAGTGCGTTCTGAGTCTTGTGTTAACTAAACTCTTTAATGCTCTAAACGACCCACTACCAAATTGTACATACAGATGATACAATTCTCTCTTCAAACCGCACATTTAACATCCATAAAGCACCAACCTGTTCTCTTACAAATTATATCTGAATTTGGCAGTTTGCCCGTATGGGCGAAAATAACCGTAATTTGAAAATGAAAAAATTTAAATAAAATTTTGGATTTTTTTTCCAAAACAGTAAGTTAAGGGTCCTCTGGAAGGTTAGGAGGGCAGGAAATTCTCCTAAGGTTTCAAAACGTCATGAAAAACGTTAATGAAAGTTTCCTCTCCTAACCTAACCGTGTAAGCCGGTGGACTCAAACAGAAAACGAAACAGCCCATCAATTTCGTGAGTCGATTTCATTTCAAATTACGTTCATTTTTGGCCATAGCGCGCATACGAGAGAAAAGCGACGTTATTTTAAGAGGATGGGTTGAAAGCACAGCCTTAATGCTGTGGAGCCGATCACTGCAGTGATGCAATAGAATTGATGATTTTTCTGTTGTTGTCATCGCAAAATGCTCTTTGCACAACCCGTCCTCACACCAAGTCCATTTCAATTGTTATGCCCTACATGCATGATCTTGCATTTGTCGATGCTTAAAAGTATTTGCCAGTCTTTTGACCATTTGTGGAGTTCATGTAGATCTCTTTGTAAGGCTTCAATATAATTATTATTTTCCACTTTACATAAGTCTTTGTGTCATCTGCAAATTTGATGATGTGGTCTGCAATATTCTCATCTATGTCATTGATGTATATGGCAAAAATGGTAGGCCCAAAATGGACCCTTGTGGTACCTCCACTTACCACATTTCTCCGTTCAGATTCGTTCCCATTTATCACGACCCTTTGTTTTCTTTCTTTCAACCATTGTTTTATCTAGTATAATATTTTACAATTTATTCAATGGGCCTGTGATATCCTTGCCAGTCTTTCATATGATACCTTATCAAAGTCTTAGGAAAATCCATGAAAAACCACCCACCGGTTTGGAAGCGGTGACCGTTTCCAAAAATGTGAGCAGGTTTGTATCGCAGGATCTGTTTTTAACAAACCCATGTTGTGTCGATTGTACAAGACTGTTCACCGAATGATGGTGAATGATTCCCTCCAAAAGGATTCTCTCCATGAGCTTGCAGATGTGTGATGTCAAGCTGATCGGGCGGTAGTTTTCTGCTAAGCTCTTTCTGCTTTTTTTGAAAATAAGGGTGACATTTGCATATTTCCAATCTAGGAAATCAAAGATTCTTTGAACCCCTTAGTCCAAAGACTGTGAAAAGTAGTTTCATTGTAGGCAAACTTCTTCTGACAGTTCCTGTAAGACTTTGGATTGGATGCCATCAACACCTGGAGCTTTTGAGTCTTAATTTGGCAATGGTTTTCGTAATTATTTCGCATGTTATGGCTATAACCCTAAATTTATTCTCATACTTTCCTTCAAATATTTTTGAGGGTGATGTGATGTCATCTAACCATTCTAGTGTGAATGATGTAAAATATTCGTTTAGAATGTTTGCTGCCCTTTTATAGTCCATTATTGCTTGGTTAGTATCATCTATTCAAGGTCCAATTGAGTCCTTTATTTTGATTTTACTTCTTATATAGGCATAGAACGATTTTGTATCTTTCTTTATGTTTTGGAGAAGTTTTCTTTCGTGGTTTCTTTCAGCTGATCTGATTTTCTGGGGGGCCGATTTTAGTTCCCGAGTTTTGTATAACTGATAATCATTGATGTCCATCGTGGATTTATACATTCTCCAGAGATTCGTCTTGGTTACCAATTTTTGTTTTGCAACCTTTGTCATCCATCTAGTTCCCTTTCTAGTTTTTCTTCTTTTCGGCACATATTTTTGAATGAGTTTCGTGATGACCCTCTTAAAATTTTGCTATGATGCTTTCATGCCATGTTCGCCTATCAGCTCCCTCCAGGAGATAGTTTGCAATTCCTCTCTCATTCCTTGATAGTCACATCGCTGGTAATCTAGAAATTCATCATCTTTGACCTTTATGTGGGTTTATATATTCGTAGTTCATCTAAAAATATGGCGAGCACATGAGGTGGATTAGCTTTTCCCTCCACATGAATTTGATCAATCATACTGACATCACCATCACTCGTCATTGGCATAAGTGAAACATGGGGACGAGTGGACATTATTGAAGGGGAATTCCTCCTCCTCCAAGGGTATCATCCACCGTTCAGAGAGGACAGAACAACAAGAGCAGGCTTTATGTGAAAGAGGACCTGAATGCAACACCCAATGAGGAACTGAACATCACGGGATCCTCAGAGTCTATATGATGCGATATACTAGCTCAACATGGTACCATACTGACTAGGGTAGTATATTACAGAGCTGACACAGCAGCAGCAGAGTAGGTTACTGATCTGCATAATGTCATCAATGTTGCGTCACACACCCAAACTCTTATAATGGGCGATTTTAACCACGAGTCAATTGATTGGGTAAATCTAACATCTCAAGCAGGTGATCAATTTGTAGACCTGATTCAGGACTCCTTTATCATATAACATGTGGTAGAGCCCACTCGAGGAAACAGCATTCTGGACCTTGTGCTAACATCAGAAGAGAGCATGATCGATCAAATTCAAGTAGGTGAAAATCTCACCCTATCGTGTGATTACAATATTCTAAGATAGAATATAATTACAGAAATTCTCGTAAAGGTCCATGATAATAATCTTCTTGATTACCATCGAGGATCATAGCGACAACCTGGGAATGAGACAGGAATTGCAAAACACCTCAAGAGAGGGAGCTGATAGGTGATCACGGCATGGAAACATCATGGGAAAATTGAAAAAAGGGACATTACTAAACTCGTTCAAAGATATGTGCTAAAAAGGAGAAAGAAAAGAAAGGGAACAATATGGATCACACAGGTAGTAAAAAGAGCGTTAATAACTAAACGGAACCTCTGGAGACGGCATAAATCCACGATTAACACCATGGATTATGAAATATATAAAAAGCATTAAATTCAGCTACCCAGGAAATCAGATTAGGCAAAAGAAACAAATTAAAACTTGCCCAAAACATAAAGGAAGATACAAAACCATTCTATGCATACACACGATGTAAAACCAAAACAAAGGACTCAGTAGGACACCTATAAGATGAGACTAACCAAATTATATTGGATGATAAAAGGGCAGCAACACTCTGAATGAATAATTTAAATCAAGGTTCACACTAGAAAGATTGATCAACATCCAATCACTAACACAGATGTTTGAAGGAGGTTAAGAGAATGAATTAAGGGATATACCCAATACATGCGACACAACCAAGAAGAGCATTGACAAACTAAAAGGACTCAAAAGCCCCAGGTCTGGATGGATTTTAATCCAAAGTCGTAAACCACTGAAACCTCTTTTCAGAAAAATCCTGGACCAAAGGATAGTTCCCCTTCTTGAGGTTATCTTGAGTTGATTTCGGGGCTTTAGTGTCCCCGTGGCCCGGTCCTCAACCAGGCCTCCACCCCCAGGAAGAAGCCCGTGACAGCTGACTAACTCCCAGGTACCTATTTACTGCTAGGTAACAGGGGCATAGGGTGAAAGAAAATCTGCCCATCGTTTCTCTCTGGCGCCCGGGATCGAACCCGGGACCACAGGATCACATGTCCAGCGTGCTGTCCGCTCGGCCGACCGGCCCCTTCCCTGATTAGGTGATATATATATATTGGATTATTGCAAATATGTAAATGTTACCCATATTTTCAGAAAAGGCAGAAAAGTGAAAACTACCGTCCGATTAGCTTGACATCACACATCTGCAAGCTCATGGAGAGAATCCTAATGGAGAGGATCATCCAAAATTTCACAGAGAACAATCTTGTAAAATCAATGCAACATGGGTTTGTTAAAAACAGATCATGCCTTACTAACCTGCTCACATTTCTGGAAACGGTAACCGGCTATTCGGGCGAAGAACCTCACGTATATGTCTATTGTGCGTCCCCACCTGGATTATTGCATCCAGGAATGGGGGACCTCATCTTCAGAAAGGCACAACTGCTCTGGAGAAGATGTAACACCGGGCAACAAAAATTATCTCAGAGCTTAATTATCTCTCGTGTCAGGAACGGTTGAGGGCCACTGCGCTAACAACAATGCAAACCAGGGATGACAGAGCGGATCTCATCGAAACTTTTAAAATACTAAACAATTTGGAGAACGCTGAGCTGGACAATTTCTTCAAAAGGTCAGATGTAACACGGACGAGGAGCAACGGGTTCAAGCTCAACAAGCCACAATTGAAGATTGCAAACAGGAGATGCTTCTTCACCCATATGATTGTAAAGCCGTGGAACCACCTACCCGCCGCACACCTGTAGACACTAATGGTAAGCGTGCACCCACAACACTGACCATACACCTGTAGACACTAATAGTAAGCAGGCACCCACAACACTGTCCCACATACTTGTAGACACTGATGGTAAGTGCACCCACAACACTGCCCACACACCTGTAGACACTAATAGTAAGCAGGCACCCACAACACTGTCCCACATACTTGTAGACACTGAGGGTAAGTGCACCCACAACACTGTCCCACATACCTGCAGATACTGATGTAAGTGCACCCACAACACTGTCCCACACACCTGTAGACGCTATTGGTAAGCGCATCCACAACACTGTCCCACACACCTGAAGACATTAATGGTAAGCATGCACACACAACACTGTCTCACACACCTGCAGACACTAATGGTAAGCGCGCATATACAACACAGTCCCACACACCTGTAGACACTAGCGGTAAACACGCACGCTCAACACTGATCACATGCCAGAAGACATTAATATTAATAGTAAGCATGCACACACAACACTGTCCCATACACCTGTAGACACTAATGGTAAGCATGCACACACAACATTGTCCCACACACCTGTAGACACTAACGGTAAACACGCACGCACAACACTGACCACACACCTGAAGACATTAATAGTAGGCATGCACACACAATACTGTCCAATACACCTGTAGACACTAACGGTAAGCGTGCACACACAACACAGTCCCACACACCTGTAGACACTAATGGTGAGCGTGCACACACACACAACACTGACCACACACCTGTAGACACTAATGGTGAGCGCGCACACACAACACTGTTCCACACACCTGTAGACACTAACGGTTAGCGCGCACGCACTAGACTGACCGACAGACACAATGGATGCCTCAGACCGCCGCCCACTCACTCCACCCATTATGCTGACGAGGCCCAAGAAAGCGGAACACAGAGAAAGTGTGGACAGCCCTGCCGGCGCCAGACCTTCAGGGCCAGACCTCCAGGGCCAGACCTCCAAGGCCAGACATTCACGGATAGACCTCCAGGGCCAGGGCCAGACCTCCAGGGCCAGACCTATAGGGCCAGACCTCCAGGGCCAGACCTCCAGGGCCAGACCTCCAGGGCCAGACCTCCAGGACCAGACCTCCAGGGCCAGAACTCCAGGGCCAAACCTCCAGGGCCAGACCTTCAGGGCCAGACCTCCAGGGCCAGACCTCCAGGACCAGACCTCCAGGGCCAGAACTCCAGGGCCAAACCTCCAGGGCCAGACCTTCAGGGCCAGACCTCCAGGGCCAGACCTTCAGGGCCAGACCTCCAGGGCCAGACTTCCAGGGCCAGAACTCCAGGGTCAGACCTCCAGGGCCAGACCTCCAGGGCCAGACCTCCAGGGCCAGACCTCCAGGGCCAGAACTCCAGGGCCAGACCTCCAGGGCCAGACCTCCAGGGCCAGACCTCCAGGGCCAGACTTCCAGGGCCATACCTCCAGGGCCAGAACTCCAGGGCCAGACCTCCAGGGCCTGACCTCCAGGGCCAAACCTCCAGGGCCAGACCTCCAGGGCCAGACCTCCAGGACCAGACCTCCAGGGCAAGAACTCCAGGGCCAAACATCCAGGGCCAGACCTTCAGGGCCAGACCTCCAGGGCCAGACCTCCAGGACCAGACCTCCAGGGCCAGAACTCCAGGGCCAAACCTCCAGGGCCAGACCTTCAGGGCCAGACCTCCAGGGCCAGACCTTCAGGGCCAGACCTCCAGGGCCAGACCTCCAGGGCCAGAACTCCAGGGTCAGACCTCCAGGGCCAGACCTCCAGGGCCAGACCTCCAGGGCCAGACCTCCAGGGCCAGAACTCCAGGGCCAGAACTCCAGGGCCAGACCTCCAGGGCCAGACCTCCAGGGCCAGACCTCCAGGGCCAAACCTTCAGGGCCAGAACTCCAGGGCCAGACCACCAGGGCCTGACCTCCAGGGCCAAACCTCCAGGGCCAGACCTCCAGGGCCAAACCTCCAGGGCCAGACCTTCAGGGCCAGACCTCCAGGGCCAGACCTCCAGGGCCAGACCTTCAGGGCCAGACCTCCAGGGCCAGACCTTCAGGGCCAGACCTCCAGGGCCAGACCTTCAGGGCCAGACCTCCAGGGCCAGAACTCCAGGGTCAGACCTCCAGGGCCAGGGCCACCTCCAGGGCCAGACCTCCAGGGCCAGACCTCCAGGGCCAGACCTCCAGGGCCAGACCTCCAGGGCCACCTCCAGGGCCAGACCTCCAGGGCCAGACCTCCAGGGCCAGACCTCCAGGGCCAGACCTCCAGGGGGCCAGACCTCCAGGGCCAGACCTCCAGGGCCAGACCTCCAGGGACCTCCAGACCTCCAGGGCCAGACCTCCAGGGCCAGACCTCCAGGGCCAGACCTCCAGGGCCAGACCTCCAGGGCCAGACCTCCAGGGCCAGACCTCCAGGGCCAGACCTCCAGGGCCAGACCTCCAGGGCCAGACCTCCAGGGCCAGACCTCCAGGGCCAGACCTCCAGGGCCAGACCTCCAGGGCCAGACCTCCAGGGCCAGACCTCCAGGGCCAGACCTCCAGGGCCAAACCTCCAGGGCCAGACCTCCAGGGCCAAACCTCCAGGGCCAGACCTTCAGGGCCAGACCTCCAGGGCCAAACCTCCAGGGCCAGACCTTCAGGGCCAGACCTCCAGGGCCACACCTTCAGGGCCAGACCTCCAGGGCCAGACCTTCAGGGCCAGACCTCCAGGGCCAGACCTCCAGGGCCAAACCTCCAGGGCCAGACCTCCAGGGCCAGACCTCCAGGGCCAGACCTCCAGGGCCAAACCTCCAGGGTCAAACCTCCAGGGTCAGACCTTCACGGCTAGACTACCAAGGCCAGACCTCCAGGCCTAGACCTCCAGGGCCAGGGCCAGACCTCCAGGGCCAGACATTCACGGCTAGATCTCCAGGGCCAGGGCTAAACCTCCAGGGCCAGACCTACAGGGTCAGACCTACATGGCCAGACTTCCAGGTCCAGACCTCCAGGGCCAGACCTCCAGGGCCAAACCTCCAGGGCCAGACCTACACGGCCAGACCTACACGGCCAGACCTCCAGAGGTAGACCTCCAGGTCCAGACCTCCAGAGCCAGACCTCCAGGGCCAGACCTCCGGGGCCAGACCTCCAGAGGCAAACCTCCAGGTTCAGACTTCTAGAGCCAGACCTCATGGACCAGCTGTTCACACACGTCTCTCCTGCTTATATATATTGGCCGGTGTAGCTGTTGTCTAATTTATTTACTGTGTAAATTTATTTTATCCGGCTTTCGTTGTTCTATTCACTTTTATTCGAAATGTTTATGTTTCAGCGAACTTTCTCTGCTGCAACAAACCTTTAAGACGTGCACGTCTATACGGCGGCCTCCCCAACCTATACTCAGCTTATAATCATTCAAGTTGAGGTCGTCCCCAATCTATCCTCAGCGTATGTTCGTTGAAGCTGCGGCCGTCCCCAACCTATCCTGAGTTTATTAGCTTTCAAGCTGTGACTGAGCCCACGCACTCATTTGACAATTATATACTCCTTCTTAGTTCATTTATTATGCACCCCATACTTATCCTGTGAGTGGCAGTGTATTATGTGCCTCCCATACTCATACTGTCAGTATAGTGTATTATACACCCCATACTCATACTGTGAGTGGTAGTGTATTATGCACCCCATACTCATCCTGTCAGTGGTAGTGTATTAAGCACCCAATATTCATACTGTCAGTGGTAGTGTATTATGCACCCCCATACCCATCCTGTGAGTGGTAGTGTATTATGCACCCCATACCCATCCTGTGAGTGGTAGTGTATTATGCACCCCATACCCATCCTGTGAGTGGTAGTGTATTATGCACCCCATACCCATCCTGTGAGTGGTAGTGCATTATGCACCCCATACTCATACTATATGTAGTAATTATTATGCACCCCATACTCATACTATATGTAGTAATTATTATGCACCCCATACTCATCCAGTGAGCGGTAGTGTATTATGCACCCCATACTCATCCTGTCAGTGGTAGTGTATTAAGCACCCCATACTCATACTGTGAGTGGTAGTGTATTATGCACCCCATACCCATCCTGTGAGTGGTAGTGTATTATACACCCCATACTCATACTGTGAGTGGTAGTGTATTATACACCCCATACTCATACTGTGAGTGGTAGTGTATTATGCACCCCATACTCATACTGTGAGTGGTAGTGTATTATGCACCCCATACCCATCCTGTGAGTGGTAGTGTATTATGCACCCCATACTCATACTGTGAGTGGTAGTGTATTATACACCCCATACTCATACTGTGAGTGGTAGTGTATTATGCACCCCATACTCATACTGTGAGTGGTAGTGTATTATGCACCCCATACCCATCCTGTGAGTGGTAGTGTATTATGCACCCCATACCCATCCTGTGAGTGGTAGTGTATTATGCACCCCATACCCATCCTGTGAGTGGTAGTGTATTATGCACCCCATACTCATCCTGTGAGTGGTAGTGTATTATGCACCCCATACTCATACTGTGAGTGGTAGTGTATTATGCACCCCATACTCATACTGTGAGCGGTAGTGCATTATGCACCCCATACTCATACTATATGTAGTAATTATTATGCACCCCATACTCATACTATATGTAGTAATTATTATGCACCCCATACTCATCCAGTGAGCGGTAGTGTATTATGCACCCCATACTCATCCTGTCAGTGGTAGTGTATTAAGCACCCAATATTCATACTGTGAGTGGTAGTGTATTATGCACCCCATACCCATCCTGTGAGTGGTAGTGTATTATACACCCCATACTCATACTGTGAGTGGTAGTGTATTATGCACCCCATACCCATCCTGTGAGTGGTAGTGTATTATACACCCCATACTCATACTGTGAGCGGTAGTGTATTATGCACCCCATACTCATACTGTGAGTGGTAGTGTATTATACACCCCATACTCATACTGTGAGTGGTAGTGTATTATGCACCCCATACCCATCCTGTGAGTGGTAGTGTATTATACACCCCATACTCATACTGTGAGCGGTAGTGCATTATGCACCCCATACTCATACTATATGTAGTAATTATTATGCACCCCATACTCATACTATATGTAGTAATTATTATGCACCCCATACTCATCCAGTGAGCGGTAGTGTATTATGCACCCCATACTCATCCTGTCAGTGGTAGTGTATTATGCCCCCATACTCATACTGTGAGTGGTAGTGTATTATGCCCCCCATTCTCATACTGTCAGTGGTAGTGTATTATGCCCCCATACTCATACTGTCAGTGGTAGTGTATTATGCCCCCCATTCTCATACTGTCAGTGGTAGTGTATTATGCTCCCATTCTCACCCTGCAACCCGTTCTCGCACAAGACAGCACATATATGATTTAATGCTTATAGTAAATATCTTGCTTATGAATTAGTACATATGTGGTATATTCCCAGTTATTTTTTTTCAAGGCACTAACTCTTCCTTAGGTATAAATTTTTGTCTCATAGTACCCGTCCACCGTCATAGACAGCAGAATAGTCGTGATTGGTTCAATTTTAATGAAATTGTTGTTTTCAGGTCCTTAATGGGGGTTGTGAAATTTACCTAATATTGTCAATGCTCTTAGAATATTACAGATCAGCTACATCCTGTTGTAGGCTCGTAGTTTTGTTTTGAGAAATATTAGTTGTTCTCTGTAAATTATAATAAGCGCTATAAATTATTACATAGAATAAGAGAGCAGATGAAGATTACTTTTATGGTTAAAATCCTATCTTACGAACAGGACCTCTAAAGTCTATATACAAGGCGAGTTTTCCGATGACATCCCAATACAAACGGGTGTCCCACAAGGCTCCATACTAAGCCCAACCCTTTTTGCTGCATTCTTAGCAGATTTGCCTAACACCCATCCTGTTAACCTCTCGGCGTACGCCGACGACTTAACACTGTATTATTCAGACAACGCCTTACCTAATACAGTCTCAACAATGCAAACAGCACTTGATCACCTCATAGATTGGACACAACAATGGGGCCTTCAAGTTAGTACTACCAAAACCTATTATCAAATTTTCACTAAAAAAAGACTTGTTCATCTACCCACCCTCACAATACACAACACTCCCATCCAACATGTACGAGAACATAAATACCTTGGCATGCACTTAGACTCGCCCTCACTTACCTGGAAAACACACATTCAACACCTTAAACAGACGACACAACCCCGACTCGCCATACTGAAAGCCCTCACTGGCACCACCTGGGGAGCACACCATAAAATCTTGCTCCGTTTCTCTACAACCTACATTCGCAGCCAACTAGACTATTGTTGCCAAGCATATGCGTCGGCTGCGCCTACTAACCTACAGAGCCTAGAGGTCATCCAAAACAATGCCATGCGACTTATATGTGGCGCAATGCGTTCCACTCCTATCCTCGGACTTTACGGGGAAACGCGCCTCACAAGCCTAGCCACCAGACGAGACATAATGTGTGCCAACTATCTGTCACTCTGTACCACTGCTCACCAGACACACCCATACAGATAAAAAATTAACCCAACAGTTAACCCACATAACCCCTGCTTCCCAACCAATCACTCACAACCTTTCCTCACACGGGCTACAAATAACCTCAATATAGACCTCTCTCTACTCCAAAACTCGGAAACCCAACTTACTGTTCCCCCTATTCCACCCTGGCTTTATACAACTCCTAATACAGCAATACAACTCGAAGACAACATTCCAAAGTCTGCACCAAACTCAGCCATAGCCTCAGTCTTTCTCTCAACAATGAAAAATTGCTACCCAAATACCACAGCGATTTATACAGATGGATCTCGCATCATCATGAACAACGTACCCTCGGTCACTAGCGCTGTATGGATACCGGAATACCATCTCAAGCAGGGATGGCGGTTACCAAACCAACTATCTGTTTTCACAGCTGAATTATATGCCTTATATCAAGCTCTCCAAATAATCACAACATTACCAATCGGGACATATACAATCTGCAGTGACTCCAAGAGTGCGATTCAAGCAATTACGTACTCTTCAAAAACGTGCAAGGAGTTTGTTTACCCATGTCTTCAACTTCTTCATGAACATCGTTTGAACGGTTATGATACCTCTATCCAATGGGTCCCAGCGCATTGTGGTATTCTCCATAATGAACTAGTAGATCAACTAGCCAAAACAATGCACAACACACCTCACATTACCCGTCATCCAATTCCCCATGTTGCACGTAAAGGAGCCTTCAAAAATACCATCACCCAAGATTTTGCGACGAAATGGAAAACGTCATGCTCACCTTTGTACTACGGGTACATTAAAAAGAAATGGTAAACTTGGAAACATGTCAGATATAAAAGCAGAGAAATTGATATAGCGATGACCAGATTAAGGCTGGGACACACCAAACTAGCAGCACACAGCTCTAAGTACAGAACAGACATCAACGAACTCCTGACATCAACACTATCTCCTACATTGCTTCCGACACTATAGTGCCAGAGTAAATTTCAAACAAGTACTTATCTCACTTAAAATACCCTTTACCATCGAGCATATATTAGGAGGCGGTAACCACTCGTTACAAGAAAAACACCAAATAGTCAAAGCACTGGCTAAATATCTCCAATCGACCAACAAATTGGGTCACATCTGACCCGCGCCACATTTATACCTGGCGCCACCAACAGCTAAACACAGACAACAAATGCCTCGTCGCAACACCATGGATCAGCTGACGCCATAAACACAACACACCGCCCTACGGTGCGGCAAGTCTCCCTCTAACACACACCTCTGTTCTAGTCGCCGCTCCTCTGTCTACACCACAACGCAACAAGCACTTTTAAAACTCTTATCATCTTCAACATAAACGCCTCTACCAACATCTGTACTGGTGTAGTCATCGGGAGGACAAACCCTTCATGCAAACTGCACCTACTATCAAGAAGAAGAAGAGAATAAGAGAGCTTCATCAATCAACATTATATACACTAGTCTGTGCTTTAAAAATCTTTAAAGAATGCATTGTA